CCCATCGTCGGCATGCCTCATTATGGTTATCGTAATGGACTTGAGGTCGGCAAAATGTTTTTTCTTCAACGACAGAAAAATAATCCACATGACCATAATGCCATAGCTGTGATGAAGGATGGAAAGAAAGTAGCAAGTTTACGACGTGATGTCTCAAAAGTGCAGGCTCCCGTTATGGATTCACAGTCAGCGAAATACTACGTTTTGAAACCAAGGCTAAGTGCTTCAAACCACTCACCAAGGTATGGATCGTTGCAATATTGCAATATTGGATTCATCGTGAATGAAGAGAAAGCAGAACGTGTACGCCACATGCTGCGTGGTTCATCTTACGTCGTTAAGTTCCAATGAGTTTTTACGTAAAAACACAAACAAAGCGGCCCTTTTCAGGGCCACCACACACTCCAAAAAGAGAACTACCGTAACAAACACACTATTTAAATAAATCGACCGCGTTCGTTTTTGACAAATAAAACTGTATTGTTGACCCCGTTCTTGGCTAAAAATCACCCTGGGCGTTTAACCGAGGATGTCTCCAACATGTAACTTTTGTGAAAACAGGGGGTGGGCGCTTGCCCAGGGAGGGGCTCGTGCCCGAGGTAATACGGTATTCCAGCTATATTACAATAAACAAAACTATATATCTTAAATTTGATAACTGTGGGGGACTGTGCCATGCATGGCTTGTTGTACTTAATGTATCTCAATGTTTGTTGGATAAACTAATTATTATGCAAATTAGATGTGATGTTATACAAATTACCCACAAGGCTTGGCATGTGTCATGGTGTTATAGCGCCAACTACAGTTTATACTTGTAATTTATATGTATTCGTTCTGCACATGCTCAATAAAGACACTTTCCAACCGGACACCATCTTATCTGAGTTATTTATAGTTTACATGGTGTCAGAAGTCGCTGATTACTGCAAATATGGAAGGCCTCCGTCCACCTAAACCTCTTAAATTAGAAGGTAACGTTGCTGAGAACAAGAGAAAGTGGCTACAGCAATTCGAATAGTACCGA